GCTGAAATGTTTGAAACTGTTTTAATTTTTGTTTAGGACTGTGGCTGCATCACTGGCATAATTGCACAAGAAAGGCACATGTGTCGTTCAGTTTTGAGTTCGCTGGAAAATCATACTGAGTAAGTGCACAGTATAGTAATTGTACTTTTATTATGCCTAGACTATATGGTAATATTATTTGTGGTTGATAGTGTTAAAATGTAGTTTCTTTGTTATTGGCATTCTGTTTTCTCATGAAGTATGCATACTATACTAAGGTACTGTGGGAAAAAATGCTTACAATTGTTTATAAAATTATTTTAGGACCGAATACACCACTCTTGCCTTCACTTGCATCTCTCACAGGAAGCGGGCGCTCGTTCAGTTTTCAACTCCATTCAGAATCTTAGAGTAAGTGTGCATTCACTATTTTACAGATGTTACTTTCATTTGATTTATTTGCTGTATGGTAAACTATGTTTGCTATGTGGTAATTGTGTTCTTTGTTTCGATAAATTAGTACTAGTATCAGTGAACATCATAATAATGTTAATAATGTAGTTTGTGTAAACAGCATGCTTGCTTTTTTATTTCAGATGTGAGAATAACAGTGTAAAAGAACCTGTTGCAAAGAGAGCCAAAGCAAAGCAGCCCACTTGGTCATGGAAATGGGGATTCCTGCCTGCACAAGAACCTGGACCACAGCTAAGACCATGTGATGCACACACTCCCATGAGTTATTTTATGTGATAGTTATATGTATTCTAAATAAACTACAAACAAAAAATATATAAATTATTTTTTTTTCCTCACATTCTTTCTTGTAGCAATTCCCTCTCAGTCACACACCTGACAGCTCATTATGCAGCTCATTATGCAGGCCTTTGTCTTCTCAGGTGTGAATCACATCATTATTCATGATCATTCACGCCTACTCGCATATACCTTTTCTACACAAAGTGTCTTAGAAAATTTAAATCAGTATATTGTTTGCTGTGAATGAGTGCGTAAGATGATTTTCACATAATTTTGAAGCAAAAACTCGCAAAGACTTCAAGATCAGTTCTCAAAAGTTTTGTGAACAAATGTTCTGTATGTGTTTTATGGCCTTATTTCGGTGACTTTAAAATTGTAGTTTTTCACTAAGTACGCATAAACGTTGTTTTCTCAAAAACACAATCACGTACATACATGCTGCTCACATATTATTGTAGCCCAGTTTGTGCTGATTACAGTGTTATTAAACTTTAGACATTAAAATGTTTGTACGCAACTGAAAAAAGCACAAATGTCAGGGCATGTCAAAACTTTTCCAGGCCCCAAAACACCCTCGGACCCCAGAGGGTTAAACAGCAATCAAAGACCAAATGAACATTATTTTATATTTAATAAAGTGACTTTTCTTATGTCTCAGTCCAAAATCTTACATTGGTGGTCTTCTTGTAGTAATCAATATGATGGATGTCTCTGGCCAGGCCGAAGTCTGCTATCTTCATAACGTTATCTTCAGTTACCAGGACATTACGGGCAGCCAAGTCTCTATGAATACACTACAACAGAGAAAACACGCATGCATATTAATCAAACAAATAATTAATCAAAGTCATATGTTAATTTGACTGATATGAGAACAGAAGCATTTGAGATGCCAACCTTCTTGGATGCGAGGTATTCCATGCCACGTGCCACCTGGTAGGCGCAGGACACCAGGTCTTTGATTGACATGTTCTCCACAGGCACCTGGTCGGGGTTGTAGCAGTACTCCATCCCAAGCGGACGACGCACACGCAGATACTCCCTCAGATTGCCCTTTGAAGCAAACTCCACAATGACGTAGAGAGGACCTGACAATGGACATATGAAAACATTTCAGTCACATAATTCTTGCTGGAATATAACACTGATCAAAATTAGTGGTTGAACGACATGAGTTTTACAATGGCTAAGACCAATGAAGGTGTCTAGAGAGCAGGTTAGTGAAAAGCTATTATAATGCCAGTATTTCTATATATCATACAATATAATGACAGCAAATGTGATTTCAATAAACATGTATCTTACAACTTTTTTTTTTTTTTTTACAACATTCATTTTACAAAGATTGGGGTTGGTAAGATTTTTTTAAAGTAAAGTCTCTTATGCTCATTAAGGCTGCTTTTATTTAAAATGCAGAAAAAAACAGTAATATTGTGAAATATTACTACAATTTAAAATAATGGTTTTCTATTTAATATATTGTAAAATGTAATTTATTCCTGTGATGCAAAGCTGAATTTTCAGCAACATTACTCCAGTCTTCAGTGTCACATGATCCTTCAGAAATCATTCAATAAGATCATTTGATGCTCAATAAACATTTCTTATTATTATCAATGTTGAAAACAGTTGTGTGGCTTCATATTTTTGTGGCAATATGACATATTTTTCAGGATTCTTTGAATAAAAGGCTCAAAAGAACATTATTTATGTGTAATAGAAATCTTTATAAAATAGCCTATAAAAACCTTTACTGTCACGTTTGATCAATTTAATGCAGCCTTGCTGAATAAAAACACATTTTGTTTCTTCCATAAATAAAAAATGAAAAGATCTTATTGAACCAACATTTTTGGACAGTGTTTTTAATCGCTAACTAAACCTATTAGAAACCTTTTTCATTATAAAGCTGTAAATAAAGCCAAAATAAATAAAATATAAAAACTTTTTTAAAAATGTGACAGGAAATGTTGACTTAGTAACTTACTGAAATCAAATCATTTTAAGTACTAAATTGACTAAAACTGAATTAAAAATGAAATCTAAATCTAAATATATAAAAACTAATACAAATAAAAACATGACAAAAATACTAAAAATTAAACTGAAAACCCAAAATATTAAAAAAGCCATTTCAAAATATTAACAAATAATATAATAGTAAATAAATAATACTAAAAAACAAAACTAAAAAACTAACAGTAGTGTACTTAATTCACAAAAAATGTAAACAAATTAATGTTTTATTTTATACTGTGGTAGCCTTGAAGAGGCCACTGTTTGTAAACTAGGATTTACACTAAGGAAGCTGGGTTTAATTTATCTAGCATGTACAATCACAATAGTTGGACTGATGACAACATCCTGTCCTTTTAAAGTAAAAAAGCCGTATTGCATTATCCCTAAACGTCTCCCTTGCCCACCCAACTCTCTCCCTCCTCCTTGATTCATCCTTACTCACCATCTTGTGTGCAGGCCCCCAGTAAGTTGATGATGTTCTTGTGTTTGCCAATAATCTTCATCATTTCCATCTCGGAGATGAGGTCTGACAGGTCCTTCTCTGTGGCGTCGGCTATAAAAGCAATATTGATGAACACACAAATATCTTAGTATGGCAGGTCACGAAACCTTCAGCCTCTAAGCTGTGATGGACAAAACAGACCGTGCAGATGGGTCATTTTATTTATGCTTTCCTTTTTCATTTATTTCCGGTGTTGACTTGAAATCAACTTAACAGTATGCAACTTATTTAATGTGCGTAATCTGATGCATTTTTCAGTGAAACTCAATTCTTGGTAGAAAATAATGTAGCGCTAGACTTGATTTCAGTGGATACTAAAAAATTAGGCTATGCGATTACTAGTATTTTTTTTATAGAATAATGTGAATTAATGAATTGTGTACACCACAAGTCCAGGAACATTTATTATTTTGTTCAGATTAATTTAGTTTGTTACAATTTATAATTGTGTTGAGAAAAATACTGTCTATGTATGATGCTTTACAGATACAAGTGAGTCAGATGTTAATTAAGTGAATGAATCAAATGGATAATGAGAGTTTCGAAGTCTGTTGGTGAGTCTGTTTCACCAATTCAGCTACAGAATCAATTCATAAGAGTCATTTATTTGTGAATCAACCAACATAAATATGACAGATATGATTAATTATGCAGTAGTGCTGTATATTCAGTGATGCAGGGCTTGATGCAGGGCATTCAGTGATGCAGGGCAGTGATGTTTTTATTGTTAACTAAAACTATTAGAACTTTTTTTTTTATTATAAAGCTGTAAACAAAGCTATAGCAATATGTAAAAATTAGAATAAAAACCTAAACTTAAAAAAATGAAATATTGCCTTGGTAACTGAAATAAAAACAGTTTAAGTTGAAGTAATAAAATTAATAAAAACAAACAAATAAATAAATCTAAAAAGTAAAATTTAAATAACATTAAATCTATTTTAACCTTTAGAAAAGATTTGATCTATTAGAATATTAAATCTAAATATGTACAACAAATTAAAACCCATGTACAAAAAATAACAAAAGCACATAAGATTACTAAATGAAATGAAAACTGACAATATAAAATAAAAAATAAAAAGCTAATTCAAAATAATTATTATAATATCTAAAATAATAATAATAATTAATTCTATTATTATAATAGTTTATAAATAATACTAAAATTATACTAATTCAGGAGACATCAGCACACAGAGAGTCAGAGTGTTTGCTAATGTTTGCGGGCATTCACTCGCTGAGGAGAGGATGGGAAACAGACAGAACCTGAATCAGAATAAACAGCTGCTCTGGTATGGTATGTGACACGAGAGCTCGATTAACATGCTTCAGGGTCAAGGTGAAATACAGGCGAAAGCTCAGCAGATTCCTCATGAGATACTCAATTACAGACAGAGCTTGCTGGCGTATTTCCATTTTTACACCACACACACACAACTGTCGGCAAACAACGGCGGCAGAAAACACTTACATTTGAGCATCTTGACAGCCACTTTGGTGACACGACTGGGTTTGTCTTTATCCATCCCGATAGCCTCAGCCATCATCACCTGCCCAAAGCAGCCCTCGCCTAGCGGCTTCCCGAGAACCAGCCTGACACACAAACACACACAATATTAATCACTGTGTTGAATAACCAACATTTCTCCAGGCCATACTTCAGATGGACAACAAATGATGAGTACAGTGTGTATATGTATGTGTTACCTGTCTCTGGCCACCTCCCAGCGTGGGTCCTGGGGCAGTTCATATTCGGAGACCCCTGACAGCATAGGGGAGCCGCTGGAGGACAGACGCGAGGGCCGGACCAGCATCCTACCCGAGTGCATAGATGAGCTGGAGTCCACAGACACCTGTACGAAAACACTTACAATTACTCTCCATACAACACAGCAAGAGAAATACACATATGAAGACTTGTGTGTATGTGAGTTACTTGCTCAAGAAGCACCTACAGACGCTGATGCAGATAACAAAACCCAAAATTCAATAACCAGCTCAACAAGAAATTAAAAGTTTGCCATTTGTGACCGACATAAAACCTTGAGGGAAAACGATTTCCTCATGCAGGTTTCGCAACGCATTCAAGTTCGTCACATGGATTTTAGAGTTGCTAGGTTTGAAAGTGATTTATACATCGCTGTGGGGAAATCCAATAATTTCAGTAGGAATCTACATGATCTGGAATTTCATGTGACAATTTTCCCATGCAGGTTTCATATTAGAATGCAGTCAAATGTTGCTGAAAGAGATGAGTTTTCAGCTGTCACTTAAAAAATTGTCAGGGATTCAGCATTCCGGATGGGGATGGGAAGATCATTCCACCAGCCGGGAACGGTGAACGAAAATGTTCTGGAAAGTGATTTTGTGCCTCTCTGTGTTAGTACCACTTGTAGATCTCAGGCTTCTGGAGGCGATGTAGATTCGTAAGAGTGAGTGGAAGTAGGAGGGTGCTGAGCCCGTGGCTTTTT